GCAGGATCTTCACTACCAGATCGGCATATATGGCCCTAAACCCACCAAACGAAGCACCTGCATATAATTGGAACAGTGTTTGGAAACTTAAAATACCTCAACGGTGCAAGGTTTTAGCGTGGATATTGCTTCATGAACGGGTTATCACAAAACAAAGAAAATTCAGTAGAGGTTTACATCAGAATGGGCTATGTGATAAGTGTAGGCAGCATCAAGAAAGCGAGGAACATGTGTTTCGGGACTGCCCAGAAGTACGCAAGTTCTAGGATCGAATCATTGATCCAAAATTCCACCACCAATTCTTCACTAGTGACCTTAAAAGCTGGATACGGTTGAATATGAAAAACCAAGTTGCACAGCTGATGTTAAAGTGGAAAGATTTGTTTTTTTATTATCTGTTGGCTTTTGTGGAGAGTGAGGAACGAGTACACGCATAAGAATATCAACACTGACCTCACCATGATATTTGGGAAAGCTTTGGCAATCAGTGATTGTATGAGGTCCTCTACTTCAAAGCTGCAAGTTGTTAAGATCAACACGGGCCTACAACAGACCACAAAAATTGATTCGGGCCCCAGAACCAAAACTCTGGTGGTTAAGACGGATGGTGCATTCTCGCACAGAAATGGAAAGGTGGCATGTGGGGGAGTTATCAAGCAGGTTGATGGCCAGATCCTTGAAGGATTCCTGCTTAAGCCAAACCAGGGAGACAGCCTCACAGCTGAGTTATGGAGCTGTTTATTGGGCCTCAAACGAGCCTGGGATCTTGGGAGACGAGAAGTGATCCTCCGGTGTGATTCCTCATAAGCCATCTAATTAATCCTCGAAGATAATAACAGCATGCATGGTGATTGGGCAACTATTCTTGAAATAAAGGAAATGCTGGCTTGGAGTCGGAAAGTGGAACTTCACACAATCAGTAAAGAGCAGAACCTGATAGTTGACCTCTTAGCGAAACACGCATTGAATGGAGCACTGGGGCTCTAGGTCATCAGTCAGGAAACTGTGGCTGTGCTCACAGCTTCCTCCTGGTAGCTTTAGTTTTTCTTTTTCTAGTGTATCAAAAAAAAAAATTGTGGGATAGTAGTTCTTATCATTAATGTCATAGTTATCGGTTACATTAACGTGAAACTACTCATGAACCTAAATGCGTAAATATTATTGTAAATAAATAAATAAATAATATTAAAAATGTGTAACTTGTAGCTATTAAAATTACATTTAACAAAAAAGGCAAAGTTTTAATTTGGGCTTAAGATCTTTTTTTCCTTTTGTGGGGTGATAGAGCTTAAGTAAAAATAATAAATATACAAAAAAAAAATTCTAAGTTCCATTATGTAAGGGTGTCGTCTGTCTAATGGGTTTAAACTTTAAAATCTTAAATGCTTATGCTTATGACATTAGCTAACATATCAAATTAAATTGGGAAAAAAATTTCGTTGAAAATTTTATTGATAAGAAGGATATAAATCATAGCATCAACAATTTAAACTTTTCTGAGTACTGGTATGCTCATTGTATAAAAATCTATCAAGTCCTTCTTCCTCGCAAAATTTTCAATGGAAGACTTCTCCTTAATTTTTCTTTTCGGTGGATAATAGAGCTTAAGTGAAAATAATAAATATCCAAAATAAATTCTTAAACTCCATTGTGTGATAACAGTTGCATCCTAACTCGTACGCCATGGTGCTAAGTACTGAAAGTGGAATCTCAAGCTTATACCTAGGCAACAACCCCTCAATGCTCCTCGTCAATTTTCTCTTTCGCATGGCTGGTTCTGCTTCTCTTCTCCCTAACCTTCCTTCAGATCGTCATCGTTCCAAGTACCAAATCATCCACACACTTCGTACCCACATGGCTTCCCAACAACAAGAAGATGAGTAACAACACATTGGTTTTGCCATCTCGAAAGACCTCATGAACGTTGCAGGCCAAGTCCTCAAGTCTCATATCACATCTCTGGCTCCACTAGTCCTTCCTGTCTCAGAAAAATTCAAGTTTCTAGTAACTTTTGTGGGAAGAAAGGTTTTTAGAATGAAGATTGAAGCTTATGTTCCAAACTTCAAGTTGGCCTTTGAGCACTTTTGTATTCATGCTGGAGGACCGGCAGTGTTAGATACAATGCAGAAGAGTCTTGAGCTTGAAGATTGGGACATAGAACCTTCAAGGATGACTTTGTACAGGTTTGGGAATACATCTTCAAGTTCTGTATGGTATGAGTTGGCCTACTGCGAAGCCAAAGGAAGAATCAAGAAAGGTGACAGAATCTGGCAATTAGCATTTGGGTCAGGATTTAAGTGTAATAGCGCAGTGTGGGTTGCATTGGACAATATTGATTCAGGTTCCTTGAAGAATCCATGGACTGATGACATTCATGAATTTCCTGTCAATTCTGCTGCTTCTCAAAACTCTTAGATTGAACAGCTGAATCAACCAAGGGAAGAAAGAAGGAGGACCCTAGCTTGGCATAAGTGGTTTTTACGTTGTTCATGATGAATTCCTTTTTTAATGTCTATGCTTCTCAAAACTCTTTAGATAATAAATGGAGCGGGTGTCAAGTATAGTGTAACTTCTGTTAAGTTATATTATTTCTCAATGTATTTCAGTTAGGCTTTTTGTTATGTATTTCACCGGACCTCTAGTGTATATATATTCCCTTTTCTCATTAATGAAAATCATCTCATCATTTTTCCACATACGGTCACATGGTATCAGAGCCTTTTGACTTTTCCACTTTCTTTTTCTCTCTCTTCACTTTAAGCTTCAGGTCCTCGTTTTCTCCGCTTCCTCTTTTCTTTCTTCTTTCTTCGATATTCTCCAAGCTCCTTCCATGGCATCCTCTGCGTCCTCCGAATCTGTTATTGACCAATCCAGTCCATACTATATTCACCCCAACGAGAATCCTGCTCTCGTTCTTGTCTCTCTCCCTCTTGATGGATCAAACTACCATGGCTGGTCTCGCGCTATGCGAATGGCCCTGTTATCAAAAAATAAGCTCAAGTTCGTCGACGGTACTCTTTCTCGTCCCTCATCCACCGACAATTTTTTTCCGGCATGGGAGCGGTGCAACAATCTTGTGCAAGGCTGGTTGACCAAGTCTCTCACTCCAACAATCGCAAAGAGCATTCTCTGGCTTGATAGTGCTTCAGAGATTTGGAAAGATCTGCAATCAAGGTACTCCCAATCTGATATCTTCCGCATTGCTGAAATTCAGGAAGAAATTTATAGTTTGAGACAAGGTTCTTTAACTGTTAGTGAGTATTATACTTAGTTGAAAATTTTGTGGGACGAACTCTCAAATATTCGTCCAATCAAAGCATGTTCTTGTGGATCCACTGATAGTGCTCAAGCTCATATAGAAAAGGACTATGTGATTCGGTTTTTGAGAAGATTGAATGAGTAGTACGCCTCTGTAAAGTCTCAGATCATGCTCCTTGATCCGCTTCCGCCTATTAACCGCGTTTTCTCTCTTGTTTTGCAACAAGAACGGGAACTTCATCTCTCTGTTCCTTCCACTCCTACGGTTTTATTGGCCAAAGGTCCACCTCGCTCTGCTAAACCGCATAATGGTCTGTCTAAACAGTGTATGTTATTACGAGTGGTATGTATGTTATTCATGAATTCCCTACTAAGGTTGCTTCTCAAAATTCTTAGATTGAGTAGGAGAAGCCTATTTTTAGCATGCAAGTTGTGTTTTAGAATTCGGTGCATGCGTTCATAGCTAACTGTCTTATGTTTAACAGCCAGTCATATGTCTAGTTTGAAACATCCAAAACTGGCCGAAGAGTGACCCAATAGAAAACTAGTCAAAATGAGTTTTTTTAATTTTTTTTAAATTCTAACAACCCAAAAATTTGGATATATCTCATAATAGGAATTCAAAATTTAGTTCATCATGTTGTGAGATATTATTTTTTTTATTAGACCCAACTCATGTGAGTAATAGAATTATTTATTCTATTTTTTATTTTTTTGCTATGTTTAGATATCGTTTTATTAAAGGCAATCATATGCGAAACACTATCAAAAACTAAATATGATTACCCCTCTCAGTAGAGATCTAAACTTTGGTTCGCCAAGTTGTGAAGAACTAACTCCTTTCATTAGATCTAAGCAATTGTATTTTTTTTTTTTTAATATAACTCAGTATTATCAAGTTACTTTAGGTTTGAGACTAATCTCTGTCAGACTAAGAATATTAAGGTTAAAGCCTTCTTAATAAATATACTTCTCGATATTTGAATTTATATTCTTCTTCTTGGGCTGGACAGGGCTTTTTTTTTTTTTTCAGTCAAGATATAGTATGGAAATGGATGTTGGACTTGTACTTTTATTTTTTCAAAAAAAAAAAAAGACAACATTTGGGCTACTTAAAGCCTCCCGCCCTCCTCAACATGGAACTTTATATTGTACCAAAAACACAAGTTGCAATTTTGTTATATGCCTATTGGGCTATTTAGAACATCATAAGCTGTGTATTGAATGAAATTTTCCTTACAGCTGCTTAAAGTTCTCAATTAGTTGTAAACAAAAAGAAAAGTTCTCAATTAGTGAAACTGAAACAAGACAAAAGTTGACCGCTACAATGTATGTTTTGTAGGTTGTTTGACATGAACAAGTAAAATAATTTAATATTTCCATTCTTATTTTACATCTATTGGACATATTTAATTTAATGTCATTATTAAATTTTATTTCATATGTTATGCTGATTAGTTGAATTTAAAGCAACTAACACATTTTATATTTATTTTGTATTGGATTGAGTTCGGAAAATAATGTGTAATAATGATGATTATTTATATAAATTCATAAATTTTAAAATTATATATTATGATAATTCATAGTATGTATTGATGAAAAGTCTGCCGGAATATTCCAGCACAAAATAATGCAGCGAAGAGATTTGTTTCCGTAAATTCTTAAAATGTCCATTATATCCTTGAGTCAACTGTAAAACCGAGGGCATTCCGGCGTTTCTTTCTCCTCTCTCCGTTTGGCATTTGGGGTGGGGACGAGGCCGTAGAAGCATGGTTCAAATGGATCCTCAAGTATGGCATAAAATTGCGGCGATTTCTGGTAATCGCTGCCTTCGGTCCACCATACTTCTGTTCTCTTGTTCTTTACATCCATTCTTGTTGCATCTGTTGTTCTAATTTGCGAATTTTCTGAGAGAAAACCTGGAGTTCACTTTCTTACTCGCTGCCTCACTGAAACAGGAGTAGCGGCACTTGGATTGGGTACTTATGGCGCCCATGTCTTCAAGCCCGAAAACCCTGCCTACAAAGAAGTCTCTTCCCATTTTCTGATTGCTCTATCTCGTCTGAGTTCTGTTTTTATCACGAAGCTTCAATTGATTGTTTCTTTCTGTTGTTTTTGGGTAATGGGAACAATGTGAAGGTCTGGCATACTGCATCGCTCTACCATTTGGTTCACACCGCGGCCTTAGTTGCTGCTCCTGTTGCTAAATATCCCAATGTTGTGAGTTCCCAAATTTTTATTATAATTATCATTCTTTCTTCTTGCTGTTGCTGTTAGTTACTTTAAGCTGTTTTTCATTTTTTTACCTGTTGAAATTCATTATGGTTATTGATGTAATATTTCTGTTTGAGCAGTTCGGAGGCCTTCTAACAACTGGAATTCTCGCATTTTCTGGATCGTAAGTGCTGTCTTTTGCTTTACCTGCGTATTGGTATTATGCTCTATACTTCTTAGCCCCAGCTGATTTTTTAATAGTTAAGGTTGTTCTTTTTTAAATCCAAAGTAATTCTCAGAAGTGATTTGTTCTTTGAGCTTTGATTATAAGAACAAATTTCATGATGTCAACTTTTTGATCCCTTTCCGGCTACTGAGCTCTTATTCTTATGCAAACAATGACGAACAAAGAAAGTGCTTTTATATCTTTATCTTGGGACAACCAAGGAAATGCTTCGTCGCTGATATGCTATATTGATTTAGTCGCTTGAATCATTATTGAGTTAAGTTTGAAGTCCTTGATGATATTAGGAACCCAGAGTTTTGCTTCAGTGGTGGGGTGGGGTGAGGAAGTACGAAGAGAGTTGGAGTATGAGGATGAGCATATAAATTCATGAAGTTATTGGGTCCTTAAATGTTTGTCTCCAACATAATGATCCCTTTCCATGTGTGTATGATTATAGTTGACTTCTCAGCGAGCATCAAGCTAGACAAAACTGTATGCACTATGGTGCAATCCGTTGTGTTTATAAATTTTTACTCTAGATTATGCCCGTAGGTGTATACCTGAGACTGCCTTGTTTGAAGGCACATTCAAGTACAACTTTTGAGTTTGCCGTGTTGTAGGCAAGGGGAAAGAAACTCCATACTACACACATGATCCAGTATACCTGGTTAGATTATAAATCTTGTAAACTAGGCCTCTTGGATGCTTCACCTCCTTGAACAATCAGTGACAGGAAGATTGGCTAATTGAGTAATAATTGGCCGAATCTAATTAATTGGCATGATGTTTTAATTCACAGTTAGTTCAGAAAAACCTTGTACCATTAAAAAATTGCTCCCGCAAGCTTATGCTCAATTGTGAGCAGCTTTCAAGGAGGTATGGCCTGATTCCATTTGCCTTGGCAATGGGTGCATCTAAAATCATTTGTCCCAAGCTATGAAGGAAAGAAACAAATAAATGTAATGTCATGCAATGTAACATCCCTAGTTTAAGGGTGTGTTTGGGTGACACCCCAAACCATGGTTTGGGGACCCAAACCATGGTTTGGAGATTAAGTCACCCAAACACCCATCCAAAAATCAAAACCATGGTTTTGGGTCAAAACCATGGTTTTGGCTCCAAAACCATGGTTTTGGAAAAAGCAAAAAATTTTTGCTTTTGGAGAAAAAAGGGAGAGTGAGAGCCTATAGGATATGTATCTTGTTATGTTTTTTATAAACATATTTTTTATAAACATATTTAATATTATATTTTATAAATATATATACATATTAATTATTTATTAATTATATTATCTTATGTATTACTAATTATGTTGGTAAAAAATATATTATTAACAATTTTATTCTTTCAAATTAAAATATATCATAAAATCTATTTTTTTTGTAATTATCATATTAACTTATATCTTTTTTTAGTAATTTGTATATATAAAAGGTGCTTCTGATAACAACTATCCAAACACTCTCACTTCTCAGAATCACTTTTTTACAAAATCTATTCTTCACAGAATCTATTCTCCCCAGAATCTATTTTCCAGAATCACTTTTTCAAACTACGGTTTGGTTTCATCCAAACACACCCTAAGTAAAATATGAAGTTATCAAGGACTCAAGGCATATTAGGGTGCCCATGCTTTAGTGTAACTGAAACAAATGCTGTGCAGAACGTAAAATTAGTCACCAGGGTCGGATGATTGAACTAATTCCCGTTGCGGGGTGGGGAGCTTCATAAATCTTGGAATCAATCAAGGGTTTTTCTTGAGAACTCGCTGAAAGGGATGGGGAAACATATGATGTGAAAGTGTTGAAACCAAGACATTATGATAGATATGGATTATATCTATTTTGAACGACTAAATAATTGTGTTAGAAATACGACATTGGGAACAAATTACAAGCCTATTCTTAAATATGTTATATGTTGCACTTGGTTGTTAATTAACCACATGTATAGGATCATTTAATCACAAAATCTGTTGTGGTAATGTGGTTAATGGCCTGTGAATGACTTTATCAATCTTTAGCAAAGCCATGCCAAATAAAAGCCCTTTGGCTTGAAATGTGAAACAAAAGTTCACCATACATTTTGCCAAAATTTAATTTTACTCAAGACAATGGACATAACAAAGATGGTACTCTGGGATCCATGTCTATGAAGGCTCTGATATCATCTTAAGGATAATTTTAGCTGAGTTTATTATAGTCTAAGTCATTTCCTTTTAGTAGGAGGTAATTTGAAGTCGTCAAAGATACCTTTTTTGTCAAACCACTTAGAAACTTTACTTCAGTCTCTTCTTTTAAGAAAAAATATCTTGTATGAATTTGAAACTTTCTGTGCTGCGGCCGAAGGGATTTCATTGGTGTGCTTATCCATTGCTTGACAAATAGGCCTGCCTTCTAGCTGGTTGATGAAATTGCTTTCTAACTTTTCCGCTAAAAGATTTTTATTTAAAAAAAGAAAAGAAAAGAAAAGAAAAGGAAAGGAAAAGTAAGTAAATATTGCTTGTGCCATTGAAGATGCTTAAAGTATATGTTGAACATGTTCAGGTGTTACGCTACGGCATTTTATGAAGACAGGAAATATGCAAGATTGGCTCCATTTGGCGGGTTTGCATTCATGGCGGCTTGGGGGAGCTTGCTTTTCTGATATGATAATGTTTTTGGTTTGTGATGTATATATGGAAACCTCTATCTAAAATGTTGATACTTGCTCAGTTTCTTTGGATACAGCAGTTGTTCAGATATTCTTTTTAAGTGCGCCCTTTTCTGATTGTCTGTAATGAACTGAGCTACAAATAATTCAGACTTGAAAGTAGGTGGAGTGTTTATATACACACACACACACATATATTTGGGAAAATTTTACAAAAAATATCACTTGAATTTCAAAATCCCAAATGAGTCTTGTTTCCTATATTTCAATAGCTATTGGCTACACTTGATAAGCAAATAGTAACACATTTATGTAGGAATTCTTAATTTGGGGTATTAACATTCAAATTGAATTTTTGTGGGATTTTTCCTTTATATTTGGTGGTTTCTTATGCTTATTTAAATATAAATAATATCTTTAAAGCAATTTTAGATAACGGAGAGAAATCTTTTGCTAAAAAATTGTGGGGAGGAAAAGGTTATATGGAACTGAGTGACAGACAGACTCCCTCGTATTTCTTTTCTGCCCCTTGTTACCGAAGTTAAATTTCACTATTAGAGATTTAAATTGATAAAGTTGTTCTTTTTTATTGATAAAATTGATAAAGTTGTTCTACGTATCGCTTTTGGCTGCGTAGGAGGTGGGCTTATGAAATTTTTTTGGTCAGAAAATGCTCTGGATCCTTGGTTTGGAAGACGCAGAATATGAACTAATGTTTGGATTGTCTTGGAAGGTGTCTTGTTATGCATTAGAATTGACGAGGTGATGGTCAAAGAAACTCCCCATAATATAAGGATCTCGGATTTTTGTCGGATTCACTGGGCCGGGTTTTTCTCCTGTGGATATTGGGCACTGGGCAAGAGGGAGTCCGCAGGAATTTGATCTCCAGCCCCTGTTTTTTCCAAAAGAAAAAAAGGAAGAAAAAAATTAGCTAAGCAAGTACTAAATGTCTAAGATTGTAAAATCCAGCAAAAAAGATAAGTTTCTCCTAATATAACGAATTAAAATTCAAATCCCTAATGAAATAAGATCCACATTTAGTGTCAAATAATGTCTTAAACAAGATAACTAAGATGATACATGTACATGGCCAAAAAATAATAATAACAATAATAATAATAATAATAATAATAATAAACGAATCCGTGACTACCCAACCATATGGGAGTATTCATACCAGTGTCACTGGGTTATAAGATCACTAGCGATCTCTAGCCTCTTATGTAACATATGAAATAATTATTCTTGAAATAACATAATGATTTTATTTTATTTATGAAGATTGAATTGGATAATGGAAAGTTCTGATGAATAAAGCTTTATTTAGGGGGGAATTTTATATATTTTGTTTTATATAGTTATTAATGATTATTCAATATGTTAATTAAATACTAACTCATGGATTATCTTTGAATAAAAATTTTACGTCTCGAGAGTTCATTAGGACCAAAATAAATCTCATACCTCAAAGAATGCTTATTGACACCAAGATGTGTAACTGCTAGCACTACATATTTATCATATTATTTGAACTTTTATTAAAAAAGACAAATAAATATGCATTATGTAACTAGACTTTAATATGATTGATACCAATTTTTACCTAGAAAGTGGAAGACCTTTACAAGATAAAAATGGCTCTTACGTAAGACTCATAAGTCCTCCACTTTCCAAGCTGTTTAATAAATATCGATGCTTGACATATATATTACTAAAGGTCTATGTTAATACTTTGATGAACCAAAATAGCTTCTTCTTCTTTTTTTAATGGGTGGTTGGTTGAAAATAGTGGTCGGATTAAAGCATTAAATTAAGCACTACCTGATGTGAACAAAGTAAAGTTGATGCAAAAGAAAAAAGTGTGCATAAAAAAGTACATAAAATATTAGTATTTATTACCATCCCAAACATGTTCACAGCGCAGTTCACAAGATGGCCACAAAATAACAAATAGGTTAGATTATCTACAAAAATAGTATATAATTAAGATAACTAATCTTTGTCTTTGGGCGGGAAAAAAAAAAAAAAACTAATCTTTGTGTGTTCCTGTATGGCCCTTTAGCCACTTGGCTTCAACTAAAATGAAAAGGGCAAACTCAATTTATTTATTGTATTTGTTGGCAAAACATTTATTTAATTATATTTATTTTTTCCCAACAGTTTATTATATTTATTTAATGATTAATGAAAAGAAAAAGGGAGGGCACACTTCTAGTTTTAACACGTAAAATTGGCCCTTTTGACATGAGAGAATGGCTTGGAGAATTTTGTGGTTACTTTTTTGCAATAACTTGTTTTTCTGTCCCCCTTGTCTATTAGCTAGGTTTGCGTAAACCATTTCTAGAGGAAATTGTATTTTGAAACTAATATAAAAATAAAGAAATATATGAGAAAAATTAAAATTTAGTTTATTTTTAATATTAAGGTTACGATCGGGTTGTTGCTTAAAAGAACAGTGATCATTTCAATCACATAGAAATCTTTTTAGTTTTATATTTGATTTGATTGATATACTTACCATTTCTTTGTCATGGGTCATTCAATAATTGTTTTCCGTTACATAAATAAGAAAATAAAATTAAGTATGCTTAACAGTTAAATAACCTGTTCGTTGGCAAAAAAAATTTTTTAAATAACCTGTTCTTTTATGAATTTATCAAAAATCCATGAAGTCAACTATAGATTATAAATTTAGTTGTATACATCTTTTCAAAATCCAATAAAACCCCGAGTCTAGGAGTTTTTACCCAGCATGATATACTTTTTTGAGAAAATGATATAAAAGACCAACAAAATAAATAAAAAGACATGATGAAATGAATGGAGAGGAATTGAGACAAGTGGGGAAATGAAAATAAAATGATTTGGAGGGAAGGATTAAAATAAGAACAAGTTGATATATTTCTTTCCACCTACAATATAAGCCACTTTAACTAATTTATCAACATCAAAAAATAATAATTAACCTATTAAACATGTTCAAAATTAATTTTTTTTTCAAATTTACTCCTATTAAATAAGATTGTGAAGAAGAAAAAAAACACAAAATTAATAAATAAGCACTAATAACTTTTTAAATGACTTATATTTTAGATCAAGTTATTTTTTCAAAAGTGACCTACATTACATAACGAAAAGAGTGAGGAGGACATGTAAATTATAAATGAATAATGAGACTGGGGCACCTAGGGTGGTGGGAATACGTGCACTTATCAATGCAAAAGGGGGTTGTGGGCAATGGGTATGGTATGAAAGTGCATTATGACATTATCACATGTTGAAGCTGCATTTGGTGAAAAGATAAAAAACCGGATTCTGCAATCTGGAGTCATACCTGTTGATAGGATGACCGCACTTTGCCACATTTTCATTGGATTCTTACCTTCATTCTTCTCCATAATCTTTTATATTTTATTCTCGTTATAATCACCTCTAACATGTCTCAGGTAACAAAATTTATTGAAAATATTAAACCTTTTCATCTGACAAGGCCAAGATACTCAGAAAAACAGTACAATAGATACTGAAATTATCTGAATCACCATCATAAGCATATTTTAAAAGGAAGGAAGATTGTAGTTGCAGAGCATCTTCCTACTTTAAAGAGAGAGCCACATGGAGTATGTGCCCACACATTCCATACAACCTCCAACCTTGTCTCCCACTTCAATCCTTCTTTGGAGTTCTCATTTTCAAGTGACACTGACCTCAGCTGAACCACAGCCAGTTTGGTTGGATTTCTCACTTATTTTCACCAAAGCATTGCACCTCATAGGCTAATATTATAAAAGCTCCTTAGTAAGTTGAAAGTCACAGTTTAATCCTACCTGTCTACCACAAAAAATGTTTTGTTTGTATGTCATATTTATTTCTATTTACTCCTTCAGTTTTTAACTCATTTATAATTCACTTTCTCATCTTTGACTCAATTTTTAAATTATTTATGACTCAATCTTTTAACTTTTAATTCACCTATGACTTATTGGTAGAATCTGAAGGTTATTTTGCAAGAATTTAGAAGGAAAGTCTGTGAGGGAGGGAAGATAAAGAGAGAAAGAGGGAAGGAAGGGAAAAGGAAGAGGGAAGAAGGGAAGAGGGGAGATACTAGAACCAGAATCTGAATTCTAGACAGGACCAAATAATTCTGAATAATACGTCATATTCCTTACTGCTTCAAGTCTGGTACTAATACTTAATACCTCAACTGCTAATAACTGATAATAACTACCCATACAGCAACTGATGAAGGATAAACATAAAACAACCAACATAGAGACACGTGTCTGACAATATAGGACATACATAAAATATAACTAATATAATTAAAACACCCTAGACAACTAATCATTGCGCCTCTTTCTTGAATAAACCAATAAAGGTTGCTGGATCCTATCAATACCCTCCCCTAGAAGGACAGCCTTGTCCTCAAGGCTGAAGGATGGGAATTGATTGGCAATGAGATCATAATCCTCCCAACTAGCTTCTTCTGCAGGACGGTGCTTCCACTGAATTAGTAGTTCTAACTCTTGTGTGCCATTCTTAGAAAGAATACGCTTTTCCAAGACCTTTTCTGGCTCCACCTGTAGTTCCCAATCATCAGAAATAGGTAGAGGAGGCAAGGGCGTAGAGGCAGTGAATCCTTGAGCAGGTTTAAGCAGTGAAACATGAAAAACTGGATGAACTTTGGCTGATGGGGGCAATTGTAATTCATAAGCAGCATTTCCAATCCTCCTAATTATTGGATAAGGTCCAAAGTAACGAGGAGAGAGCTTATCAAAGCGTCTAGAGGCCAATAATTATTGGCGATAAGGCTGTAAACGCAGAAAAACCAGGTCACCAAGTTCAAATGTAATATCACGTCGCTTTGAATCTGCTTGAATCTTCATTTTAGCTTGAGCAGATATGAGGTTATCTTTGATAGCTTTGAGAAAGGCATCCCTTTCCAGTAAGAATTCATCAAGATCAGCAATTCTGCTAGTCCCTTGAGTGTAGGGTAGTATGGAAGGAGGGTCTCTTCCATAGACAATCTTAAAAGGTGTAGAACCCGTGGAACTGTGAAAGCCAGTGTTGTATGAGAGCTCTGCCCAGTGAAGGTATTGAAACCAAGTCTTGGGATGTTCTTGGGAAAAGCATCTGAGATAAGTTTCAAGGCATCTGTTCACCACCTCAGTCTGGCCATCAGTTTGAGGATGGTAAG